GGCTCAACATAACCTAAGGCATAGGTTTTTGAAGGCTCAACACAGCCATAGGTGTGGTTTCTTTTAAGAATATTGTTTTTAAGGCTCAAAATAGCCTTAGACTTGGTTTTTGAGACCTCAACATAGCCATAGGCGAGATTTCTTTTAAAAATATTTTTTCCAAGGCTCAACATAACATAAGGCGTAGTTTTTTTGTAGGCTCAACACAGTCATAGCCTTGGTTTATTTTAAGAATATTTTTTCCAAGGCTCAAAATATCCTTAAGCGTAATTTTAAGGCTTTTTTCCAAGGCTCAACATTGCCTTAGGCATATAGTTTTTTTTTGAAGGCTCAACACAGCCTTTTTAATAATATTTTTCCAAGGCTAGACATAGACTAGGGCGTAGCGTTAGGAGGCCCAACCCAGTCTTAGGCGTGATTTCTTTATGAATATTTTTCCAAGGCTCAACACGGCCTTAGACGTGGTTTTTAATGAAATTTCATTCAAGGCTCAACACAGCCATATGCGTAGATTTTTAAACGAATATTTTCAAGACTCAACGCAGTCTTAGGCTCAGATTTTTAAATGAATATTTTTCAAGGCTCAACGCAGTCTTTGGCTCAGATTTTTAAAGGCTCAACGCAGTCTTAGGCTCAGAGTTTTAAAGGAATATTCTTCAGGGCTCAACACAATTTTAGGCTCGGATTTTTTATATTTTTCTAACTCCACGCCTCTGTGAATCTATGAAAAAAAAATTTAAGCATCGCGTGGATGAGGATCTATGAAAAAATATTTTTAAAAAAATCCAAATTTTTTAACCTAGAGCATTCTGGACGGTCCCCGTAATGAACGATTTTTGAAAAAATACGCAATTTTGTTATCAGTCCCCTTGACACTGACTTTGTTGTGAATCATATTTACATATATATGAACATATATGTATATATATATATATTTCAGATTATATGCTATTAATTTCATTTAGCTTGCGGTAGGTAGTCGTCCATCATCATTGTAAAAAAATCCTTATCTGTGAATTTTTTTGGCCTCACCTTAATACGAATGTTCGTTAAGTTCAAAAAAAGCTTCGAACATGAAAAAATCCGTAGGTTCTTATCGCCCAACAAATGAATTAAAATGTTGTTGTTTTTTTATTAATTTGTATTCATTAGGTCACAAGGTGAGCTTACTGCGTTTTAACGTCATTGCATTTATTTTTAATTACTTTGTTTCCTAAACCAACAAAAAAATAGTTTTGTGGGAAAATGATCGCATTTGGCTTTAGAGCTCTTTCGAGCCTTAAAAAATATTTTTTAAAAACTCTGAAAGATATTCATAAAAGAAACCACGCCTAGAGCACTGGTGAGCCTTCGGGTCTTGGTAAATATTCATAAAAGAGAAAACGTCTTTGGTAGGACTTGAAAAAAGCATTAACAAAATAAACGCTTTGTTAGGCCTATTGAGCCTTCAAAAAATTGTTATTTAAAAAATCAAAAAAAATATAAAAGTGTTATAAAAAAATGTTATATAAAAAATCTTTGAAGGAAATATCCTTTAAAAAACCAACCCTGCATAGAGCTCGACTGAGCTTTGAAGAAAATATTTTTATTAAAAAATCCACACCTGTGACTTTTTTGAAATATTAATGTATTTGGCTATGTTGAGCCTTTATTGAATTAAGCTATTCTCGATCTCAACACCACCACATGATGCATTGTATTGTATGACACGGTTCTGATTGCATTATCTGCAAAAATCTCGAACATTTTTTGATAGGTGGAAGGTACAACGGTTATTTTGTTATTATTGTTTTTCGAAATCACAAAAATTGTTAGCGGAACTAGATAGCATTTTTATTGTCGCATTTTCTATTAATTGTTCAAAAGTCAACACCTTTATCACATTTTTTAAATTCCACCGAAACGTGAGTAGTTGAGATAAGAGGGCAGGTGAGCAATTTGGCGACCCCCCCGAACTGAACGTATCAATTAAATTGTAATTGCTCTACAAACTAATATTCATAACAAAGTAAAATTTAAATTAAAAAAAAATTATATTTAATTATGGAACAAATACAAATTACATGGTACAGTTTGATTATTTTTAATAGGCCCAGTTTTTTGTAAATTTTTATACCCTTCACCACACTGTGGTACAGGGTATTATGTCTTAGTGCATATGTTTGTAACAGGCACAAGGAAACGAGATAGACACATGGTTCCTTTTGAGAATATACATAGAATCACTTTCTAAGTCGATTTATGCATGTACGTCCGTCCGTCTGTCTGCCCATGTTAAATTGTAAACAAAATACAGGTCGCATTTATTATTCAAATTGGATGAAATTTGGCACAGCTCATTCATTTGGCCCAAGGACGAACCCTACTGAAATTGGAAATTGAAAAATCGGTTCAGATTTAGATATAGCTCCCATATATATTTTCGTCCGATTTAAGGTAATTGGTGCACCAAAGTCCCTAAATAGCTTTCGATTTGCACGAAATTTGGCACAGCGTAATGAATTAGGTCTAGTATGATGTGTGCAAAGTTTCGTAAAAATCGGGTCAGATTTAGATATAGCTCCCATATATATATTCGTCCGATTTAATGTAAATAGTGTACCGAAGTCCCATTATATCTTTCGATTTGCACGAAATTTGGCACAGCGTACGAAATTAAGTCTAGAGTGATGTGTGCTAAGTTTCGTGAAAATCTGTCCAGATTTAGATTTAGCTCCCATATATATTTTCGTCCGATTTAGGGTAAATGGTGCACCAAAGTACCTATATATCTTTCGATTTGCACGAAATTTGACATAGCGTACTAAATTAAGTCTAGAATGGTGTGTGTTAAATTTCGTAAAAATCGGTTCAGATTTAGATATACCTCGCATATATATTTTCGTCCGATTTAAAGTAATTGGTGCACCAAAGTCCCTAAATAGCTTTCGATTTTCACGAAATTTGGCACAGCGTACCGAATTAAGCCTAGAATGATGTGTGCTAAGTTTCGTAAAAATCGGGTTAGATTTAGATATAGCTCCCATATATATATATATATTCGTCCGATTTAATGTAAATAGTGTACCGAAGTCCCATTATATCTTTCGATTTGCACGAAATTTGACACAGCGTACGAAATTAAGTCTAGAGTGATGTGTGCTAAGTTTCGTGAAAATCGGTTCAGATTTAGATATAGCTCCCATATATATTTTCGTCCGATTTAGGGTAAATGGTGCACCAAAGTACCTATATATCTTTCGATTTGCACGAAATTTGTCATAACGTACCGAATTAAGGCTAGAATGATGTGTGCTAAGTTTAGTAAAAATCGGGTGCGATTTAGAAATAGCTCGCATATATATTTTCGTCCGATTCAATACAAATCGTGCAATCAATTTTGCTATAAATCGTTTCCCAAAAATTTGTCCCATGGTACGCAGACACTCTAAATTTGCCCGAAATGTGCCTTCAAGAGAACATTGATATACAATTGTATGGATACATATGTACAATATACCCAAGTGGTGAAGAGTATAATATAGTCGGCCCAGTCCGTCTTTACTACTTTCCTTACTGGTTCTAATTGGAACAGTAGTCTATCGGTGAACAAACAGAAATTTATATTTGTTATATAAAAACACTAATAATAATAAATCAAATTCTACTATGATACACGTATTAATGTCTGATAACACGGTGATTTATGGTTATGACACACCCTTCTATACCTGCACAACCAGCCACAGCGTTTGATATGCCAAACTTGATACTTTGTTATCAACATTCTTATATGTCAATTAGTCAGATAGGGATATTTCAATGTCACAAAAATTCTTTAAAAAAAATCCACACCTGTGGATAGCCATTTAAAAAATATTTTAAAAAAACATTGTTTAAACAATTTAATTTTTTGAACTTAACCCATTTTTACTCTCAGCGTAAGTGTAAATATTTATCTATCTGTGAGATACAAATAACCACTTTAAAATGCACCGCTCTATGCGGTACACAGTGCATGGTAAAATTATAACGTTGTCGATTTTCTGGTAATTAACTAAAATTTCATAAGAAAAATAAAAACAACAACAATAAAACACGAAATGTCTAAAAATTAGTCACTCACACACATACAAAGCAAACAAGAGCAACATAACACCATTAACTTGGTGCTGCAATTGTCGAACCAAAGAATTCAATCAGCATGACAATCTGATGACGATACGTTTTTAACGACTCCAATTTTTTTCATTTCAATTTTCATTATTTCTTCACAAAATTTTGAACCACAGTAATTACATAGTTTGTTTTCATTTTCAATTGTATTTTCAAGTAGTTTTTGTTGTTGTTGTCTGAAATGCAGTTTGTTATGCGTTTCACTTGTAAAGTGAAACTAAATTGCGGAACACCGCAAAACAATAGCTGTGATAGCTTTGAATGTGATTGCAAGCGTAGCCGGAAATGCAATTGACAAACGTTAAACAAAAAAAAACAGCACTTTCCATTTTAGAAAAAAAAAACAAAGACAATAAAACGAAATAATTGGTAATATATATATATTTTTTTTTTTTGATTTATACATAAATTTCTAGATTAAAAATGGTGGGGAACATATATAAAAAAATTTCTTCTTATATTAACTCTAGAGGCTTGCGAAACATTTTATAAACCCCTTTCAATAAATATTTTTAAACAATCCATGCTTGTGTGTAGTCCTCAGGAAAATATTATTAAAAAATCCACACATTTCAATCAATAGACCTTGAAAAACTTTTTTCAAAAAATCCGCACTTGTGGATATGCCTCAGCAGGCCTTAAAACATTAATAGACTATAATAAATATTTTTAAAAATTCCAAACTTAGTTAGGCTTAAGAAAAATGTTTTTAAAAAGACCAGGCAGTTTGGTCTGAGTCTCATATAAATATTTTTTAATTATATGTATATATTAAAAATTTTCTACATAATTAAGTATTATTTATTAAAATTAATAACTATTTTTAATTATTTTTTTCATTTTAGATATTCCGATGGCACCGTCAAATTGCGTAACCCCAACATTGAACTCATGGATCAAGATATTCTATATCATTTGGCCTTGGGCAGTGAATCTCACGATTTGAATGAAATGTTCGGTGATGTTAAGGTGGATCTGATCTAAATATTTCAGAAGAATCCGACAGTTTTTTTCATAATCAGACATCTATAGGAAATTTAGTAATATACATAGACCCAAAGTTTTATGAGCAAGGATCGGGGAATATTGGATTTCTTGACAGTGGATTGGATTTCTTCCCAGGTCAACATTTTGGCATAATATTTGGATGTCAAAAAATTTGGCCTTACGGTACTTATTTACGCTTCAAGAAAATGATGCAAAAAAAAAAATTACACTCAACGAGTTGAATATATTCATCTCAAAAACAAAAAAGAGAAATGAAACAGAGGTGGGGAATCTTCATTTCTAGGTTCTTAATATAATTGTCAAGGGCGATATAATTGTTTCACTCCCCAAAATCTTGCTGTACAGTTTAAAAATTCCATGTGTATTACTCTGATAATTTTTCAGAGTGAGTTCAGCCATGCCGAATTTGTACCCCCTGATCTACGAAGTTTGCATTAAAAAAACCAAACATGGAACTTTATTAAACATGGAACCTTCAAAACATGGAACTTTATTTAAAATGTTCTTAAAGAGGGTTTTATTATTTTATATATATATATATATATATATATATATATATATATCGATGGATATATAGGGACTTTGGTGCATATAGAATATATAGAAATCTAAACCGATTTTCACGAAACTTAGCACACATCACTCTAGACATAGTTCAGTACGAAATTTCGTGCAAATCGATAATTATATAGGGACTTTGTTGCACTATTTTCCTAAAATCGGACGAAAATAAATGTGGGAGCTGTATCGAAATCTGAAACAATTTTCACATAACTTTATGTACGTCATTCAAGTACCAATTTAGTATATAGGAACATTGGTGCACTATTTACCTAAAATCGGACGAAAATGGCTATATCTAAATCTGAACCGATTTTCACGAAATTTAACACACACCGTTCTTTGCTTTATTCAGTACACTATGCCAAATTTCGTGCAAAACTAAGGATATTTAGGGACTTTGGTGCACTATTTACCTAAAATCGGTCGAAAATATATATGGGGCTATATCCAAATCTGAACCGATTTTCACGAAACTTAACACACATCACCTTAGGCTTAATTTTTTACGCTATGCCAAATTTCGTGCAAATCGAAGGATATTTAGGGACTTTGGCACATCATTTCGATTAAATCGGCCGAAAAATATATGGGAGCTATATCTAAATCTGAACCGATTTTCAAGAAACTTGACACACATCATTCTAGACTCAATTCAGTACCCCATGCAGAATTTCGTGTAAATCGAAAGATATATAGGGACTTTGGTATACCATTTAGATTAAATCGGACGAAAATATATATGGGAGCTATATTCAAATCTGAACCGATTTCTAGGAAACTTAACACACATCATTCTAGACCTAAATCATTAGGCTGTACCAAATTTCGTGCAAATCGAAAGGTATATAGGGATCGTTTACATTAAATCGGGCAAATATATAATGGGAGCTATATCTTAATCTGAACCGATTTTTCTCCAATTTCAATAGGGTTCGTCCTTGGGCCAAATAAGTGACCTATACCAAATTTCATCCAATTCGGAACATAAATGCGACCTGTACTTTGTTTACAAAGTAACATGGACAGACGGACGGACGGACAGAGGGACATGTATAAATCGACTTAGAAAGTGATTCTATGCATATTCTCAACAGGAACAATGTGTTTATCTCGTTTCCTTTTGCTTGCTACAAATTCACGCCTTATTAGAGCACAGAAAAAATATTCTTTAAAAATTCAGGCCTCATTTGAGCTCAGAAACAACATTCTTTAAAAAATCAACGCCTTATTTGATTAAAAAATCCACGCCTTGTGTAGGCCTCTAAAAATATTCTTTAAAAAATCCACACCTTGCATAGCCCCTGAAAAAAAGTATTTATAAAAAATCCCCTTTTTTTTTGGCCCCCCAAAAATATTTTCTGAAAATCTATCTGAATTTATTGCAAATTCCTAACGGTATTCAAAATTCATTTGACCACTTTCAATTCTATCAAACCTGATATTCACGGCTTATGCAATAATTTGTAAATTATTAAAATTTGTTTTGCACTAATTTCGAAATTTCATTCAACAAAACAAGTAACTACTCTTCTTTACTGATTGCAAATTCGAAACAAGACCCATATTCTAACCTTGATATTGAAACACAATTCAAAAAAAAAAAATAAATAACAATAACAACAATCAAACAATAGATAATAAAATTATAAATAAAATAAATGCAAATTAAATGTTTATAATGGAATGCGCATAATTATAATAAATTGAATAAAATAGAAAAAATGCAACAACAACAAAATGAATAATTTATTTTTAATTTGATAATTAATCCAAATACTAATCGTATGACAAAGAAAGCGAGCGGAGAACGTACACTCATCAATAACAGCAGTAGTTATTGATTGATAGAAAACTGTAGCGTAGATAGGTCCCTGGGAGGTGTACCCCAAAGACCCCCAAGGCATTTTTTTCTATTTCTGGCTACGCCAATTTCAAATCTAATACGTTTCAATATTTCTTATTTCATTTTGTTTCTTCTTCTTGTGAATGACTTAGGTAATCGCAAACTGTAATAGTCAACCCCTTCCCATTTACAACACCTACAAAGATCTGTCAATTGGTTTTAAATTCAAAATGCAAAACTTGTAAATATTTACATCGGCTGTTGTTTTCTGAGCGGATTGTGTAGCCTCATCACGAGATTTGATAACAGGCCAAACACGGGTATTTTCAATGATTGCGCATTTTCATAACAAACTGCACGGAAATAAATCAGATTCAAAACGTGCCTTTATATTACAACAAACATATGATGTAACTGACCCGCAATTAATGAACCTTGAAAAAATATTCTTTAAAAAATCCACGCCTTGGTTGAGGGCTTCTCAAAAATATTCTTTAAAAAATCCACGCCTTGGTTGAGGGCTTCTCAAAAATATTCTTTAAAAAATCCACGCCTTGGTTGAGGGCTTCTCAAAAATATTCTTTAAAAAATCCACGCCTTGGTTGAGGGCTTCTCAAAAATATTCTTTAAAAAATCCACGCCTTGGTTGAGGGCTTCTCAAAAATATTCTTTAAAAAATCCACGCCTTGGTTGAGGGCTTCTCAAAAATATTCTTTAAAAAATCCACGCCTTGGTTGAGGGCTTCTCAAAAATATTCTTTAAAAAATCCACGCCTTGGTTGAGGGCTTCTCAAAAATATTCTTTAAAAAATCCACGCCTTAGATAGGACCTTGAAAAATTAATCTTTAAAAAATCCACGCCTTCTAAGGACATTGAAAAATGAATCTTTAAAAAAATCCACGCCTTATTAGGACCTTGAAAAATGAATCTTTGAAAATCCACGCCTTATTAGGACCTTGAAAAATTAATCTTTAAAACATCCCCGCCTTATTAGGACCTTGAAAATGAATCTTTAAAAAATATTCTTTAAAAATGCCTGATTAAAAATTTTTTCTAATCATTTTTTCTTCTTCTCTAATTCCAGTTCGTTTGCATGGGCGGGACACCAAAGCGTATGGAGAACTTTGCACATTTCATTATGAATGAGATCGGCTACAAATTACCTGCAGGCACGATGTTGCAGGACATCAGCGCCTACTCGTATCGGTATTCGATGTACAAAGTTGGGCCAGTGCTTTGTGTCAGTCACGGCATGGGAACGCCCTCTGTTAGCATTCTGATGCACGAAATGATCAAACTGATGTATCATGCCAAGTGCCATGACCCCATCTTTATACGAATTGGCACTTGTGGTGGCATTGGTGTAGAGGGTGGCACTGTCATCATCACCGAGGATGCCCTCGATGGGCAGTTGAGAAATTCGCATGAGTTTGTAAGTGAATGGAAAAAAACTCCACCCCATAAAAATTCAAAATAAAAAATTTAAATCATTTTTTTTCAGACCATTTTGGGTAAAACCGTACATCGTCCCGCCAAATTGGATAAGAAATTGGCCCGTGAACTTAAGGCCCTGGCCAGTCCCGATGATCCCTATGACACCATTATTGGCAAGACATTGTGTACCAATGATTTCTATGAAGGTCTGTAATAAAAAAATATTTTTTAAAAGAGAAAATTATAAAAAAATATATTATTCCCCCTATTTCAGGTCAAGGCCGCTTGGATGGCGCATTCTGTGATTTTACCGAAGCCGATAAAATGGCCTATTTACAAACGCTGGCGGACAACGGTGTTGTCAACATCGAAATGGAGAGTACCATTTTTGCTGCCCTTACATATCATGCTGGCATTAAGGCTGCCGTTGTCTGTGTGGCCTTGCTGAATCGTCTCAACGGTGATCAGGTAAGATAGGGGGTGACCAAGGAGTGCTGAATTTCTTAAACAATTTTCTCACACTCTGTAACGTTTTTTCCCAAAATGCGGCATAATTTTTGTGATGGAGTTTGAATTCTCAATTGATATTAATATGGAATAGAATAGAGAGTAGATCCCTTATAGAGTAGACATTTAGAAGGATTTTCCCCAAAAATCATACAAAAACCAGTAAGGAAAGTAGTAAAGTCGGACGGGGCCGACTATATGATACCCTTCACCACTATGGGTATATTAAACAGAACTATTAACATGAAATTGGATGAAATAAAATATGTGATATTTATCTAAATGTGAATCTACCTAGATCTATCCATAAAGTATGTAAATCGACTTCAAACAAATATAAATAGGTCATCCGTTGGGCTATGTCTGTCAAATTTCGTGCAAATCGAAAGATATATAGAGACTTTGGTCCACCATTTACATGAAATCGGACGAAACTATATGGAAGCTATATAGAAATGTGGACCGATTTTCACGAAACTTGGCAGACATAATTCTAGGCTCAATTCAGTACGTTTTGCCAAATTTGGTGCAAATCGAAAGATATATAGGGACTTTGGAGCACCATTTACATGAAATCGGACGAAACTATATATGGGAGTTATATCTAAATCTGGACCGATTTTCACGAAACTTGGCAGACATCATTCTAGACCTAATTGATTAGGCTGTACCAAATTTCGTGCAAATCGAAAGATATATAGGGACCGTTTACATTAAATCGGTTAAATATATATATGGGAGCTATATCTAAATCTGAACCGATTTTTCCCAATTTCAATAGGGTTCGTCCTTGGGCCGAATAAGTGACCTATGCCAAATTTCATCTAAATCGGATTATAAATGCGACCTGTACTTTGTTTACAATTTAACACCAACAGACGGACAGACGGACGGACGGACGGACATGCATAAATCGACTCAGAAAGTGATTCTATGCATATTCTCAAAAGGAACTATGGGTCTATCTCGTTTCCTTTTGCCTGTTACAAACATATGCACAAAGACATAATACCCTGTACCACAGTGTGATGAAGGGTATAAACATCTACGACCTTGAAAATATATCAGACGAAAATATATATGGGAGCTATATCTAAATCTGAACCGATTTTCACGAAACTTTGCACACATTATTCTAGACTTAATTCTGTACGCTATGACAAAATTCGTGCAAATGAAAAGAATTCCAGGGACCTTTGTGCACCATTTACGTATATCGGACGAAAATATATACGGGAGCTATATCTAAATCTGAACCGATTTTCACGAAACTTTGCACACATCATTCTAGACTTAATTCAGTACGCTATGCCAAATATCGTGCAAATCGAATGATATATAGGGACTTTGGTACACCATTTAACTTAAATCGGACGAAGATATATATCGGAGCTATATCTAAATCTGAACCGATTTTCACCAAACTTTGCACACACTATTCTAGACTTAATTCAGTACGCTATGCCAAATTTCGTGCAAATCGAAAGATATATAGGGTCTTTGGTGCACCATTTACCTAAAATCGGACGAAGAGATATATGGGAGCTATATCTAAATCTGAACCGATTTTCAGGAAACTTAAAACACATCATTCTAGACCTTATTCTCGTTTCATTTTGCCTGTTACAAACATATGCACAAAGACATAATACCCTGTACCACAGTGTGGTGAAGGGTATAAAAATCCAGGCATTAATTAGGCCTTGGAAAAATATTTTTAAACAAATTACGCCTTATTTAGGCATCCTAAAAATATTCTCCAAAAATCGAGTCCTGACAAAAATATTCATTAGAAATCGAAATTGAATGCCTTATCCGATTAGTTTAGAATTTTCGTAGTACCCAAGAAGTCTTTTCATTTTTTAATTGTTTGTATTAATTTATTTTTTCTATTTTCCGATTTTCCAGGTCAATGCCCCCAAAGAAGTGATGAACGAATGGCAGGCGCGTCCACAAATTCTGGTGGCGCGATATATACGCAAAGTATTAGCCCAAAAGGGCCAGCTGAAGAGTCTGTTCAATGCTCAAGGATCGATTAAATCGCCCAGACGTTTTAAGCTGGTGCAGCAGGAATCTCAGGCCCATGAATAGAGGATGAGCTCGCAGGCAAGCAGGCAAAATTCTCATCACATACATACATATATAGGATACACTGAAACTAAAGAAACCTACATTATTTTTTCTCTCTATAAACTTTAACTATACAACAAAAAACATAGGCATATATACAACAACAACAAAACATACCTACCTAGTGTTATATATAAAAAATATGTGTACAATTTGCAAAAAACAACTCTCTTTTCTAATGTAGTTAAATTATTCACTTACATATATATACATAAATAAATATGTATTTATTATTAAATAAAACAAAAAGAAACAAAAAAAAAACAAATTAAAAAAAATTATATGTATATTTGTATACATATATATTGTTGTGAACTATGAAGACAGGTGACAAGACAGACTACCAGCAGTTCAATGTGAAGGACATTACATTAACATGGAATTATATATACATACATATATATAAATACACACACAGACAGACAGGCAAGCAAAGCAACCAATCCATACATACATATAAATAGCAACAACCAAATGTTTTTCTTTATATATAAATAACTTCGAAAATTTTTGGATGACAAAACTGATCTATACACAAACATACATACATACATACACAATATACATAAATATATATATACATATAAAAAATACTTATATAAATAGTTTTATCTTTAACTTAATAAAAAAAATACCAAAATGAATAAAAAATCTATTCTGAAAACCACAACAAATTTCAAAAAAAAAAAAAAAATAAAAAAACACCCACACAAATAAATATGTAATATATATAAAAAAATTAACTAAAAAAAACAATAACAGAAAAAAATAAACAAAAAATTAAAATTAAAAGAAATATGGCATCTTCTTAGGGCCAGTGGTCAGAGTGGATGTTCGAAAATGACATCAAAAATATTCGCAAATTGTAGTCAAACACACATTTTATTGGACGAAAAAACTTGGTCATTAAAATTAGCCCAAAAAAATTGGTCATTGAAGATTGGTCCAAAAAATACAAAAATGTCCCAAATTAATTAAAAAAATTCTAAAACACACATACACACATTTTTAGGGTCTCAGATTTCAGAAAATGTTTTTTTTTTTTTAATTTAGACCAGTTTTTTTCGACCAAAAATTTTTCCCAAACACATGCACATAATGTCCTCAAATTGATCGAATAATACAAAAACACACTCCCTTATGTGTTTTTGAATTCCAAATTGTAGTCAAACACACATTTTATTGGACGAAAAATTTGTCCAATTTTTTTCCGACCAAATTTTTTTCCAAACACATATACAAAATGTCCCCAAATTGATCGAACAATATAAAAACACACTCCCATATGAGTTTTTGAATTCCAAATTGTAGTCAAAACACATGTTATTGGACGAAAAATTCCTCAAATATTTTCCGACCAAATTTTCCACCAAAAATTTGTCAAATTTAAATTTAATATAATAAAAATATATAAAGGTCGTTTGTGATTGTAAATACAATCATATTTCAATCAAGGCAATTTTTTCAAAATCCTCCCAAAAAAATTCCTAAAATACGACCAAAATTGTTACGGAAATTGTTAAGGGGCAAACTGAAATATACCGTAATAATGAAATATAAAAATTATTGTAATATAAATATTATAAAATTTGAATATATCTAAATTTGGAATAAATTTCTAACATCCACTCTGACATCCCTCCAAACCCAAATTGTCAGATTTTCGTAACATTTTTTGTTACTCCAAAAAAAAAGAAAATTGTTTTCTTTAAGATTAGTTCCACACTTATTTTAAAAATAAGCATTTCATAGCTAATTATTTTTATTTAATATTTTGTGTTATATATAATTATTTTTTTTTTAATTTTGGTTTATATTGTAATTGTAATATTTTATTTGTTTTAATAAAACAAACAAGCATTTAGCAAAAATTGAGTTTTTTTATATATATTTATTTATAATTTGTATAGCCTACATCACTAAAATATTAGGTTAGGGAAAAATAAATCTATTTTTTTAGGAGTGTATTTTTTTAAATATTTTAAACGACTACATTTACTTACTTACTTAGCTGGCTTGTTACAGAACGGTTGTTCCATAGGCCGAGCTTAAAAAAATATTTCCAAGGGCGTCGGTCTTGTGCGCAAATCCACCAATTTGGAAGACCACGTTCCAAGATATTGTTTTCTACTTGGTCTTTCCATCTAATTCGTGGCCTTCCCCTTCTACGGGAACCATCAATAAGCTCGTTTTTTTTATATGCCTTTTGAGCTGGGACATTCTCATTCATCCGCACAATATGGCCTAGCCACCGTAGTCGCTGCAGCTCAATACGATGTCCGCGTATAAATTGTAGAGCTCGTGGTTCATTCGACGCCGATATTCACCGTCGAGGCAGATCGCCCGTAGATCTTTCGGAGAATTTTTCTTTCAAATACCCCAAGAGCTTCCTCATCTGCTTGCGCAAGTTCCCATGCTTCTGATCCATATAATAGCACGGGTAGTATCAGCGTCTTGTAAAGTGTGAGTTTGGTCTGGCGGGATGTGGCCTTGCTTTTGAGTTGTTTGCTCAGACCATAGTAGCATCGGTTGGCCATTACAATCCTTCTCCGAATTTCAAAACTGGTGTCATTTGTTTTATTTATGTCGGTACCAAGGTATATAAAGTCTTTAACTACCCCGAAGCTGTAGTTCTCAAGTTCCACAGTTGTTCCGAGTCTACTGGATGTCTTGCGCGTTGATACCATCAGCTTGGTCTTCTCGCCGTTTACTGCCAGACCCACTTTGGCAGACTCCTTTTCAATTTGTTCAAAGGTGGCTGTTACCGCTCGCAATGTTCGACCCATTATATCGATGTCATCGGTGGAGGCGAGTAACATGTGTTGTTTGGTGTACAGAGTGTCATTTCTGTTCACCGTTGCGTCTCGTATGACATTTTCCAGCCGGATGTTAAAAAGATCACACGACAAACTGTCACCTTGTCTGAATCCTCGTACGGTTTTGAAGGGCTCCGATAGATCCTTTCCGACTTTAACTGCTGACCTTGTGCCATTTAAAGTTATCCTGCGTATCCGTATTAATTTTTCAGGAATGCCGAACGTAGACATGGCTTTAAAAACCTCTGAACGGACAGGGCTGTCGAATGCGGCTCTATAGCCGACAAATATGTGGTATGTGTCGATGTGTTTTTCGTGGGTCTTTTGTAGGATTTGGCGCAGAGTGAAAATCTGGTGAATGGTGGATTTGCCAGGTCTGAAGCCGCATTGGTATTGTCCAATGATGTCATTGACCATTGGCTTCAATCGTTCACACAGCACACTGGATAGCACTTTATATGCGATGGGAAGAAGACTTATTCCTCTATAGTTGGCACATATCGTCTTGTCTCCTTTTTTGTGCACGGGACACAGGATGCTGAGGTTCCAATCATTGGGCATGCATTCCTCTAACCAAATTGTACTAATCAGCTGGTGCATGCTCCTGACCAGCATCTGACCACCAGTATTGAATAGTTAGGCTTGCAACCCATCGGCACCTACTGGTTTATTGTTCTTGAGCCGATCAATTGCTTTTATGACCTCATCTTGGCTAGGTGATATACACTCTATACCATCAGCTCTTATTGGTTCTGGGGTATCTTCTTCAACGCCACTATTTGATACCAGAAGCTTTTCAAATGCTCCTTCCAGATCCTCAACACGACTTCATTTAGGCGTCGATTTTTTAACAATATTTTTAGGCGTGGATTTCTTAAAATATTTTTAACGACTATTAATAGGCGTATACATGGGCACAGATTTTCTTAAAAATATTTTTTAAGGACTTATAGATTTTTTTAAAAATATACCCCGTTTTCGATATTTTGGGGTTATTGAGCGTGTTTTTTAACCGAATACGCTGAAATTTGGTACATTGAGTTCTTATTGGGTACTAAATGTCTCCACAAAAAATTAGAAATATAGGTCCACTTTTTCTGGTAGCCCCCATATAACGGTACCTCCTAATTTTCAATATTTTGGGGGTTTTGATCGTATTCTTCCACCGAATTTGCTGTAAGTTAGTATTGGCTGTAAGTTAGTATCTTTCCATTTGCCTAGAGTGATATCTGCCAAATCTATAGGCCACAATTAGAAACCGAACATCACAACCCAATCCACAGTGAAGGGAATTTGCACAAGTAATTAAAAGGGATGTACTCAATATTGGGAATATTCGGAAAATATGTCAGTGTAAGGAATAATTGCTGTTGATCTCTAATTGGACAAGAGGGTGCAACTATCACGAAATATTGCCCAGGCTTAGAATAAACGTCGGCAGAAAGTTAGAGTTCCGTGGTAGTTGTGTAGGGTATCGTATGGTCGGCCCCGTGCTTCTATAATGAATCTCCATTGTTGTTAATGAATCTCCATTGTCGTGAATTTGTTAGACTTATTTTCTAAGGGACTGTGCATAAGTATGGATTTTTTTTTTTTAAATATTTTCTTAAAGGGCTATCCGTAAGAGTGAATAGTGATGCAGGCTATACACCGTATCTGTCCCACTGACTATGGCCTTTTTTAATACTATGATAATTGTTTTTTAATGTTGCTTATTTTTATCCTTGCTTTTCTAAAACATGTATTTATTATTTTATTTTAATTTTATGGGAATAAAAAAGCTGAATTCTCCTCATCTCTGAATGGAGAACTTAAAACAAATTATAACTCCCCACAAAGGATTTGCATTATTAAGAAACCAAAACCAAGCAACGAACAATTTTTTGAAAAAAAAACTACACACAAACAAACCTAGTTACCAGAAATAAAAAAATAGAAAAATAACCGATTATATTTATAAAAAAAATAAAATAGTAAAATAATAATAATTATTATTATTAAAAATATAAAGCAATGTATTTATTTTTGTGTGTGTCTTTGTTATTATAATTAGCGAATTGTTTTTCTGTTATAGTTATTTTATATTACCATTGGCAAAAACGAAATGTTTACAAATACAAATACAACAACAAGAAACAAAAATCCAACAAAAAATTAAAAAAATATAAAAAAATAAATATATATATAAATGTTAATTTATACGAAGAGAATCGTGTAAAAAAGCAAATAACTTTTTTAAAAGTCGTTTATTTAAGGGCGGGGGTAGGGAGGGTTCTGAATCCATAGGCGTGGAGTAAAAAACAAATTAAGGTATATTAATTAATTTTAAAGAGCCATTCCACAGGCGTGGATTTTTTTAAAATTAAATTTAACGAGCCGATCCACTGGCTGGGTGGCGTAGGGGATGATAGATACCAAGCAAAGGCTCTGATTGCCTTTAACATGTAGACACTGACCTCCCCGCGGTGTCAGCTGGGGTAGCTATTTTCATCACCCGTTGAAATAGTGAGCCAATATGTGCCGCGAGTTCACCCATTGTTACGTGACCCTTTTACGTTGCTGGGAATGCGGGATGGGACCCCCCTTATGAGAGGCGGCGGAGCTAGCTAGGGTTACCTGAACATCTCCCAGCAGCGTAAAATGGTCACGTAACACCATAAGAACTAATTAAAAAAATTGGTTGAGGCGTCGGGTTAGTTGCCCACACTCGGAAAACCCCGCCTACTATGAAAAAGCAAAGAAAAACAACCAAACCCCCCTAATGTTGACGACCCTCGAAAATGTATAAAGGACCACGATCTGCATTTTGAATGTGCGCACGTTGTACAGGACAGCCGCAGTTCTCGCTCTGGCGGATGTACACAAAAAGTACAAAGCCGATATTATTGCCTTATAGGAAATGCGATGGAAAGGGACAGGCGTAAGTAAATCAGACGATTACGCCCTGTATTATAGTTGCCATGAAAGGAGACATGAATTTGGCTGCGGATTTATGGTTAACAGGAGAATAAAAGACCTTGTCTCCAGATTCACTCCAGTAGATGAGCGAATTGATATAATCCGTATAAAAGCGAAGTTCTTTTACATCAGTCTAATTTGCGCCCATGCTCCGACCGAAGACAAAGATGATCAGACCAAAGATATATTTTACGAGCGCCTAGAAACAGCATATGATCGTTGGCCTGGTCATGATATTAAAATTCTGCTAGGAGATTTTAAATCAAAAATCGGAAGGGAAAATATCTTTGGCCCCACCGTCGGAAAGTTGAGCCGCCATGAAGAAACATCCAGCACCAGATTCAAGCATCTCGATATACCCAAGTCCACCTGGATTTCTGCCGATCAAACAACGAAAAATCAAATAGATCATGCTGTGATAAACGGAAGGCATTCAACCAGTGTTCTAGACGTCCGATTGATCCGGGGAGCGAATATCGAGATTTTAATGCAAAAATCGGAAGGGAAAATATCTTTGGCCCCACCGTCGGAAAGTTGAGCCACCATGAAGAAACATCCAGCACCAGATTCAAGCATCTCGATATACCCAAGTCCACCTGGATTTCTGCCGATCAAACAACGAAAAATCAAATAGATCATGCTGTGATAAACGGAAGGCATTCAACCAGTGTTCTAGACGTCCGATTGATCCGGGGAGCGAATATCGAGATTTTAATGCAAAAATCGGAAGGGAAAATATCTTTGGCCCCACCGTCGGAAAGTTGAGCCGCCATGAAGAAACATCCAGCACCAGATTCAAGCATCTCGATATACCCAAGTCCACCTGGATTTCTGCCGATCAAACAACGAAAAATCAAATAGATCATGCTGTGATAAACGGAAGGCATTCAACCAGTGTTCTAGACGTCCGATTGATCCGGGGAGCGAATATCGAGATTTTAATGCAAAAATCGGAAGGGAAAATATCTTTGGCCCCACCGTCGGAAAGTTGAGCCTCCATGAAGAAACATCCAGCACCAGATTCAAGCATCTCGATATACACAAGGCCACCTGGATCTCTCCTGATCAAGCAACGAGAAATCAAATTGATCATGTTGTGATAGACGGAATGCATTCATCCAGTGTATTAGACGTTCGATCGATCCGAGGAGCGAATATCGATTCGGACCACTACCTTGTAGCAGTCAAGGTTCGCACCTGTCTTATTGTTGCAGCAAAGGTGCGATCTAATACAACACGGAAACTCGACGTCGAAAAGCTGCAAACACAAGAGGTAGCCGAGGTCTACTCCGCTCAAATTACCCATCTGCTTGACAAAAGCACCGCTTGTCCCGATAATAGTATAGAAGCACAATGGCAAATAATTGCCCACTCCCTACAAAATGCAGCAAAAGCAACACTTGGATACCAAAAACCACCACCAAGAAACCCATGGTACGATCAGGAGTGTCGTAATTCTACATATGTGAAAAAGCGTGTAGGGCAACCCTGCAGACAGTAGCAACACGTAATGCGATGGAGAATTATCGGGAGAAAAGGAGAGAGGAGAATCGTTTTTCAGATCGAGATGTACCTGAATCAGAATGAAGTCCGGAAATTTTACCAACGAGTAAAACACCAAACCGAAGGCTTTGGTGCGGGCACATCCCGTACACAAAAAAGGAGACAGGACGATATGTGCCAACTATAGAGGAATAAGTCTACTTCCCATCGCATATAAAGTGCTATCCAGCGTAGTGCGTGAACGACTGAAGCCATGGGTCAATGAAATTATTGGACCATACCAATGTGGCTTCAGACCTGTCAAATCCACCATTGACCAGATATTATTCGTCGACTATAAAACCGCATTTAACAGCCCTATCCGTTCAGAGGTGTTTAAAGCCATGTCTATGTTTGGCATTCCCGCAAAATTAATACGGCTATGCAGGATAACTTTAAGTGGCACAAGATCAGCAGTTAAAGTCGGAAAGGACCTATCGGAGCCCTTCAATACCGACCGATGATTCAGACAAGGTGATAGTTTGTCGTGTGATCTTAACTTAACATCCTGTTGGAAAAGGTCATACGAGACACAAAGGTGAACAGAAATGGCACTCTGTACAACAAATGTTACTCACCTCGGCCGATGACATCGATATAATGGGTCGAACATTGCGAGCGGTAACAGCCACCTTTGAACAAATTGAGAAGGAGTCTGCCAAAGTGGGTCTGACAGTAAACGGTGAATGATGTCATTCATCACAATCCTTTTCGGAGGAGGATTGTGATGACCAACAGATGCTACACTTTACAAGACGCTGATACTACCCGTGCTTTTATATGGATCTGAAGTATGGGTATGCACGAATCAGATGAAAAAACCAATTACAAAACAACATCTTGCAACGTGGTCTTTCAAATTGGAGGAGATGCGCACAAGTCCGACGCGCTTGGAAATCTTTTTTATGCTCGGCTTATGGACAACCGTTCTGTAACAAGCCAGCTAAGTAAGTATGAAATCCACTGGAGTGGATTGGCGTTTTTAAATATTTTTTTAAACAAATTTCACCTTTACATAATTACGTATAACTCCCACATCAGAGTACATACAGCCATATAATTGGTATCAATTTGAAGGTCAATAACTCATATTGGACATACTATCAACATCTCGAGTATATGTCCTTCAGGAGCAAGCATATACGCCTCAGAATAAAAATTTTGTAATTTTTGACACAAAAGTCAGGCTCCATTTGACCCGCTAAATATTGATCAAAACGGGCATGCTTATTCTCAGGCCCGATCCCCTTCTCCATGTAAAATTTCACGATGTTCGGACCATAACTGCGGCATAATTACGTATAACTCCCAAAAACCGACAAAAATTTAGTATTTGGTCCATTTCATCCCCTAAATATTAACCGATCTTTACCAAAAACAATAGGGGTCTTCATTGGCCACATGCAAACTTTCGTGAAGATTGGTCCATAACTGTGACCTGTATCGTGTTTACAAATTATAATGGACAGACGGACGGACACACATGTCCAGATCAACTCAGCTAGTCGAGATATGACGATCGGTATACTTAGAGGTGGGTCTAGGACCAATATTTCGCGGCGTTACAAACTTTTGGGGCTGCACAAAGCTATAATACCCTGACAACATAGTTGTGTAGGGTATAAAAATTAAAATATCGTCCCACCCTACAGTACACGCGCTTCTGTATTTACTGTGTACACTTGTAATTGATAAAGTTTGATGAACTTTATAAACGCTGGCTAAGTGTTAAATTAATTACTAAGCCAACGGAATAGTATTACAAAATATGTACAGATGTAAATATGTCTGGGTGAAGATGATGTCATTGCCAGCTATAGTAGATCTAGTTTGCAAATAATTGAATAAAATTACACAGACTAATCGAATAAAGTAAATAGAAATGGACAAGTCTGCACACACACATGCCGTTTTCCTAGAATAAAAATTTTACAATTCTTAGAATTCAGAATTTATTTTGATATATGTATGTACATATATAAGTTATCATATTTCCTATATAGGTTACATTTATTTGTTTTTGTTTTTCTATTACAATAATAATTTACAAATTGTTACACGTTCACTTGCCCTGCTGCAACACATTTCTAATATATTCACCGACCACTGTGAAGGGTCTCTGTTCAAAATCCTCCTTTTGTTCCTTGGTCAAATGCACCTGATCACCTTGCAGGCGATTGAGTAGGGTCACACATACATCGGCTGCCTTAACACCCACATGACGGGTAAGGGCCGAAAACATGGTGGCTTCCATTTCAATATTGCGTACTCCCTTTGCAAAGGCCTGTTGTAGGAAGGCCATTTTATCCGATTCGGTGTAGTCGCAGCAGGCACCATCCAGGCGACCTTGACCTTCATAGAAACATTCCGCAGCCATGGTATTACCCCAAATAATTTCATAATCACGTTCATAGCTGGAATATTTCATTAGATCTTGGGCAACCTGTTCGTCGAATATGGCCGGGCGTACCACCCTTTTGCCCAAAATGGCCTGAAAAATAAAACAAAAATTATTTTATTAGAAATATTTTCTGAAAGACTATCTTAAGGTGAGGATTATCTTAAGGTTGAAAGACTATCTTAAGGTGTGGATTATTTAAAAAAAAATAAAAAAAAATTCTGAAGGGCTATCCATAGGCGTGGACTTTTTAAAGGAATAGTTTTTCAGGGCCTATACAAGGCGTGGACCTTTTAAAGGAATAGTTTTCAGGGCCTATACAAGGCGTGGATTTTTAAAGGAATAGTTTTTCAGGGCCTATACAAGGCGTGAATTTTTAAAGGAATAGTTTTTCAGGACCTACACAAGGCGTGGATTTTTAAAGGAATAGTTTTTCAGGGCCTATACAAGGCGTGAATTTTTAAAGGAATAGTTTTTCACGGCCTATACAAGGCGTGGATTTTTAAAGGAATAGTTTTTCAGGGCCTATACAAGGCGTGGATTTTTTTAAAGGAATAGTTTTTCACGGCCTATACAAGGCGTTGATTTTTTTAAAGGAATAGTTTTTCACGGCCTATACAAGGCGTGGATTTTTTAAAGGAATAGTTTTTCACGGCCTATAAAAGGCGTGGATTTTTTAAAGGAATAGTTTTTCACGGCCTATACAAGGCGTGGATTTTTTAAAGGAATAGTTTTTCACGGCCTATACAAGGCGTGGATTTTTTAAAGGAATAGTTTTTCACGGCCTATACAAGGCGTGGATTTTTTAAAGGAATAGTTTTTCACGGCCTATACAAGGCGTGGATTTTTTAAAGGAATAGTTTTTCACGGCCTATACAAGGCGTGGATTTTTTAAAGGAATAGTTTTTCACGGCCTATACAAGGCGTGGATTTTTAAAGGAATAGTTTTTCAGGGCCTATACAAGGCGTGGATTTTTAAAGGAATAGTTTTTCAGGGCCTATACAAGGCGTGGATTTTTAAAGGAATAGTTTTTCAGGGCCTATACAAGGCGTGGATTTTTAAAGGAATAGTTTTTCAGGGCCTATACAAGGCGTGGATTTTTAAAGGAATAGTTTTTCAGGGCCTATACAAGGCGTGGATTTTTAAAGGAATAGTTTTTCAGGGCCTATACAAGGCGTGGATTTTTTTTCAGGGCCTATACAAGGCGTGGATTTTTAAAGGAATAGTTTTTCAGGGCCTATACAAGGCGTGGATTTTTAAAGGAATAGTTTTTCAGGGCCTATACAAGGCGTGGATTTTTAAAGGAATAGTTTTTCAGGGCCTATACAAGGCGTGGATTTTTAAAGGAATAGTTTTTCAGGGCCTATACAAGGCGTGGATTTTTAAAGGAATAGTTTTTCAGGGCCTATACAAGGCGTGGATTTTTAAAGGAATAGTTTTTCAGGGCCTATACAAGGCGTGGATTTTTAAAGGAATAGTTTTTCAGGGCCTATACAAGGCGTGGATTTTTAAAGGAATAGTTTTTCAGGGCCTATACAAGGCGTGGATTTTTAAAGGAATAGTTTTTCAGGGCCTATACAAGGCGTGGATTTTTAAAGGAATAGTTTTTCAGGGCCTATACAAGGCGTGGATTTTTAAAGGAATAGTTTTTCAGGGCCTATACAAGGCGTGGATTTTTAAAGGAATAGTTTTTCAGGGCCTATACAAGGCGTGGATTTTTAAAGGAATAGTTTTTCAGGGCCTATACAAGGCGTGGATTTTTAAAGGAATAGTTTTTCAGGGCCTATACAAGGCGTGGATTTTTAAAGGAATAGTTTTTCAGGGCCTATACAAGGCGTGGATTTTTAAAGGAATAGTTTTTCAGGGCCTATACAAGGCGTGGATTTTTAAAGGAATAGTTTTTCAGGGCCTATACAAGGCGTGGATTTTTAAAGGAATAGTTTTTCAGGGCCTATACAAGGCGTGGATTTTTAAAGGAATAGTTTTTCAGGGCCTATACAAGGCGTGGATTTTTAAAGGAATAGTTTTTCAGGGCCTATACAAGGCGTGGATTTTTAAAGGAATAGTTTTTCAGGGCCTATACAAGGCGTGGATTTTTAAAGGAATAGTTTTTCAGGGCCTATACAAGGCGTGGATTTTTAAAGGAATAGTTTTTCAGGGCCTATACAAGGCGTGGATTTTTAAAGGAATAGTTTTTCAGGGCCTATACAAGGCGTGGATTTTTAAAGGAATAGTTTTTCAGGGCCTATACAAGGCGTGGATTTTTAAAGGAATAGTTTTTCAGGGCCTATACAAGGCGTGGATTTTTAAAGGAATAGTTTTTCAGGGCCTATACAAGGCGTGGATTTTTAAAGGAATAGTTTTTCAGGGCCTATACAAGGCGTGGATTTTTAAAGGAATAGTTTTTCAGGGCCTATACAAGGCGTGGATTTTTAAAGGAATAGTTTTTCAGGGCCTATACAAGGCGTGGATTTTTAAAGGAATAGTTTTTCAGGGCCTATACAAGGCGTGGATTTTTAAAGGAATAGTTTTTCAGGGCCTATACAAGGCGTGGATTTTTAAAGGAATAGTTTTTCAGGGCCTATACAAGGCGTGGATTTTTAAAGGAATAGTTTTTCAGGGCCTATACAAGGCGTGGATTTTTAAAGGAATAGTTTTTCAGGGCCTATACAAGGCGTGGATTTTTAAAGGAATAGTTTTTCAGGGCCTATACAAGGCGTGGATTTTTAAAGGAATAGTTTTTCAGGGCCTATACAAGGCGTGGATTTTTAAAGGAATAGTTTTTCAGGGCCTATACAAGGCGTGGATTTTTAAAGGAATAGTTTTTCAGGGCCTATACAAGGCGTGGATTTTTAAAGGAATAGTTTTTCAGGGCCTATACAAGGCGTGGATTTTTAAAGGAATAGTTTTTCAGGGCCTATACAAGGCGTGGATTTTTAAAGGAATAGTTTTTCAGGGCCTATACAAGGCGTGGATTTTTAAAGGAATAGTTTTTCAGGGCCTATACAAGGCGTGGATTTTTAAAGGAATAGTTTTTCAGGGCCTATACAAGGCGTGGATTTTTAAAGGAATAGTTTTTCAGGGCCTATACAAGGCGTGGATTTTTAAAGGAATAGTTTTTCAGGGCCTATACAAGGCGTGGATTTTTAAAGGAATAGTTTTTCAGGGCCTATACAAGGCGTGGATTTTTTAAGGAATAGTTTTTCAGGGCCTATACAAGGCGTGGATTTTTAAAGGAATAGTTTTTCAGGGCCTATACAAGGCGTGGATTTTTAAAGGAATAGTTTTTCAGGGCCTATACAAGGCGTGGATTTTTAAAGGAATAGTTTTTCAGGGCCTATACAAGGCGTGGATTTTTAAAGGAATAGTTTTTCAGGGCCTATACAAGGCGTGGATTTTTAAAGGAATAGTTTTTCAGGGCCTATACAAGGCGTGGATTTTTAAAGGAATAGTTTTTCAGGGCCTATACAAGGCGTGGATTTTTAAAGGAATAGTTTTTCAGGGCCTATACAAGGCGTGGATTTTTAAAGGAATAGTTTTTCAGGGCCTATACAAGGCGTGGATTTTTAAAGGAATAGTTTTTCAGGGCCTATACAAGGCGTGGATTTTTAAAGGAATAGTTTTTCAGGGCCTATACAAGGCGTGGATTTTTAAAGGAATAGTTTTTCAGGGCCTATACAAGGCGTGGATTTTTAAAGGAATAGTTTTTCAGGGCCTATACAAGGCGTGGATTTTTAAAGGAATAGTTTTTCAGGGCCTATACAAGGCGTGGATTTTTAAAGGAATAGTTTTTCAGGGCCTATACAAGGCGTGGATTTTTAAAGGAATAGTTTTTCAGGGCCTATACAAGGCGTGGATTTTTAAAGGAATAGTTTTTCAGGGCCTATACAAGGCGTGGATTTTTAAAGGAATAGTTTTTCAGGGCCTATACAAGGCGTGGATTTTTAAAGGAATAGTTTTTCAGGGCCTATACAAGGCGTGGATTTTTTTTAAAGGAATAGTTTTTCAGGGCCTATACAAGGCGTGGATTTTTAAAGGAATAGTTTTTCAGGGCCTATACAAGGCGTGGATTTTTAAAGGAATAGTTTTTCAGGGCCTATACAAGGCGTGGATTTTTAAAGGAATAGTTTTTCAGGGCCTATACAAGGCGTGGATTTTTAAAGGAATAGTTTTTCAGGGCCTATACAAGGCGTGGATTTTTAAAGGAATAGTTTTTCAGGGCCTATACAAGGCGTGGATTTTTAAAGGAATAGTTTTTCAGGGCCTATACAAGGCGTGGATTTTTAAAGGAATAGTTTTTCAGGGCCTATACAAGGCGTGGATTTTTAAAGGAATAGTTTTTCAGGGCCTATACAAGGCGTGGATTTTTAAAGGAATAGTTTTTCAGGGCCTATACAAGGCGTGGATTTTTAAAGGAATAGTTTTTCAGGGCCTATACAAGGCGTGGATTTTTAAAGGAATAGTTTTTCAGGGCCTATACAAGGCGTGGATTTTTAAAGGAATAGTTTTTCAGGGCCTATACAAGGCGTGGATTTTTAAAGGAATAGTTTTTCAGGGCCTATACAAGGCGTGGATTTTTAAAGGAATAGTTTTTCAGGGCCTATACAAGGCGTGGATTTTTAAAGGAATAGTTTTTCAGGGCCTATACAAGGCGTGGATTTTTAAAGGAATAGTTTTTCAGGGCCTATACAAGTATTTCTATCAAAAGAGGAGCTCTTTGCCTTTCAAACTTACAATTTCATGTTCATTCCTTAAATAGCCATTATATGCCTCCTTGGATACAACAACCGTACCAGGATTCACACCCACACCACCACTGGTGCCCAAACGAATAAATACCGGATCTTTGCACTGGGCATAATGTACCAATTTCAGCAATTCATGTAAAAGGACACTCATGGTGCTCATACCTACACCATGCGAACAACAGAGGACCGGTCCAACCTACATAACACAAAAAATATTTTTTTATTTTAAAATTGTAATCGGTTATTTAAAGGTCTTACCTTATACATGGCATAACGATTTCCAGCTTCACTAATATCCACCAACTCACCTACTTTATCGTCGAGTCCAAGTATGTGGCGTAAATATTTGGCCAGGGCCAGCATACGATTTTTGGTACCACCCAGACAAACAAACTGAAGGAACATATTAAAAAATATATTTTTTAAGAATTTTACAAAACATTTTAAATATTTTGTAGGGTCCCAAAATGTTACTACCAAGTTTGTATTGGACCCTATTTTTAATCCATTTTTTTTTTTCAACCTTATCTTCTCACCTTTACATCACCATATTGCTGTATTATTTCTGTTGGATTCTGTGTATCCGCCACATTTATATTGATGTGATATAAAAAATCTGAAGTCATGGTATTTAAATGGGGATTGTTTACATTCGGATTGCTGAAAGAATTGCAACAGATTTATCGGAGAGGGTCAGTAATCTTTGAGGTGCAGTTCAAATAAACAGAATTTTATTACCTTTTGGTCATTTTGTTGTTGTTGTCGGTGTTCTTATTTTTATTGTTGCTTTAAAAAAATGTCTGGAAATATGAAAAAAAAATTATATTTTTTTAATGGCCCATATAAACAAAATCGAATTTTTAAACAAAAGATGGTAAAGGAACTTCGTTGGAAGTAGTCAAGGTCACCTTCAAAAAAATACACACTTTACAACATATTCTTCAAGGACTATAAATAGGCGTCGATTTAAAAAAAAATTTTTTTCAAGAACTATTAATAGGAGTGGATTCTTTCAAAAATTAATTAATGACTGTTTTTAATCTATTTTATATAGGGGCTATCCCCAGGCGTGGATTTTTATACCCTTATGTCTTTGAGCATATGTTTGTAACAGGCAAAAGGAAACGAAATACACCCACGGATCCTTTTGAGAATATGCATAGAATCACTTTTTGAATCGATTTATGCATGTCCGTCCGTCTGTTGATGTTAAATTGTAAACAAATCATTTATCATCCGATTTGGATGAAATTTGGCACAGCCCATTTATTTGACTCAAGAACAAACCATATTGAAATTGGGAAAAATCGGTTCAGATTTAGATATAGCTCCCATATATATTTTCTTCCGATTTTAGGTAAATGGTCCACCAAAGTCCCTATATATCTTTCGATGTCCACGAAATTTGGCACAGCGTATTGAATTAAGTCTGGAATGATGTGTGCTAAGTTTCGTGAAAATCGGTTTAGATTTAGATATAGCTCCCATATTTAATTTCGTCCGATTTAAGGTAAATTGTGCACCAAAGCCCTTATATATCTTTCGATTTGCACGAAATTTGGCATATCGTACTGAATCAAGTCTAGAAAGATGTGTGTTAAATTTCGTGAAAATCGGTTCAGATTTAGATATAGCTCCCATATGTAATTTCGTCCGATTTAAGGTAAATGGTGTGCCAAAGTCCCTATATATCTTTCGATTTGCACGAAATTTGGCACAGCGTAATGAATTAGGTCTGGAATGATGTGTGTTAAGTTTCGTGAAAATCGGTTCAGATTTAGATATAGCTCCCATATATAATTTCGTCCGATTTTAGGTAAATGGTGCACCAAAGTCCCTATATATCTTACGATTTGCACAAAATATAGGACAGCGTATTGAACTAAGTCTGGAATGATGTGTGTTAAGTTTCGTGAAAATCGGTCTAGGTTTAGATATAACTCCCATAAATAGTTTCGTCCGATCTTATGTAAATGGTGCACCAAAGTCCCTATATATCTTACGATTTGCACAAAATATAGGACAGCGTATTGAACTAAGTCTGGAATGATGTGTGTTAAGTTTCGTGAAAATCGGTCTAGGTTTAGATATAACTCCCATAAATAGTTTCGTCCGATCTTATGTAAATGGTGTACCAAAGTCGCTATATATCTTTCGATTTTCACAAAATTTGGCATGGCATAATGAATTGAACCAAAGTGGTAGTCATCCCCAGGCGTGGATTTTTTAAATCTATTTTATAAAGGGGCTATCCCCAGACGTGGATTTTTTACATCTATTTTATAAAGGGGCTATCCCCAGGCGTGGATTTTTTACATCTATTTTATAAAGGGGCTATCCCTAGGCGTGGATTTTTTAAATCTATTTTATAAAAAGGCTATCCCTAGGCGTGGATTTTTTAAATCTATTTTATAAAGGGGCTATCCCTAGGCGTGGATTTTTTAAATCTATTTTATAAAGGGGCTATCCCTAGGCGTGGATTTTTTAAATCTATTTTATAAAGGGAAAAAATATGAAAAAATATTCTTTAAAAAAATCCACGCCTTAGATAGACCCTGAAAAAATATTCTTTAAAAAAATCCACGCCTAAGATAGACCCTGAAAAAATATTCTTTAAAAAAACCACGCCTTAGGTAGGCCCTGCAAAAATATTCTTTAAAAAAATCCACGCCTTAGATAGGCCCTGAAAAAATATTCTTTAAAAAATCCACGCCTTAGATAGGCCCTGAAAAAATATTCATTAAAAAATCCACGCCTTAGATAGACCCTGAAAAAATATTCTTTAAAAAATCCACGCCTTAGATAGGCCCTGAAAAAATATTCTTTAAAAAATCCACGCCTTAGATAGAACCTGAAAAATATTCTTTAAAAAAATCTACGCCTGGTATATGCCCTGAAAAAATATTCTTTAAAAAATCTACGCCTGGTATATGCCCTGAAAAAATATTCTTTAAAAACATCCACGCCTTAGATAGGCCCTGAAAAAATATTCTTTAAAAAATCCCCGCCTTAGATAGGCCCTGACAAAATATTCTTTAAAAAATCCAGGCCTTAGATAGGCCCTGAAAAAATATTCTTTAAAAAATCCAGGCCTTAGATAGGCCCTGAAAAAATATTCTTTAAAAAATCCACGCCTTAGATAGGCCCTGAAAAAATATTCTTTAAAAAAATCCACGCCTTAGATAGGCCCTGAAAAAATATTCTTTAAAAAATCCAGGCCTTAGATAGGCCCTTAAAAAATATTCTTTAAAAAAATCCACGCCTTAGATAGGCCCTGAAAAAATATTCTTTAAAAAAAATCCACGCCTTAGATAGGCCCTGAAAAAATATTCTTTAAAAAAATCCACGCCTTAGATAGGCCCTGAAAAAATATTCTTTAAAAAATCTACGCCTGGTATATGCCCTGAAAAAATATTCTTTAAAAACATCCACGCCTTAGATAGGCCCTGAAAAAATATTCTTTAAAAAATCCCCGCCTTAGATAGGCCCTGACAAAATATTCTTTAAAAAATCCAGGCCTTAGATAGGCCCTGAAAAAATATTCTTTAAAAAATCCAGGCCTTAGATAGGCCCTGAAAAAATATTCTTTAAAAAATCCACGCCTTAGATAGGCCCTGAAAAAATATTCTTTAAAAAAATCCACGCCTTAGATAGGCCCTGAAAAAATATTCTTTAAAAAATCCAGGCCTTAGATAGGCCCTTAAAAAATATTCTTTAAAAAAATCCACGCCTTAGATAGGCCCTGAAAAAATATTCTTTAAAAAAAATCCACGCCTTAGATAGGCCCTGAAAAAATATTCTTTAAAAAAATCCACGCCTTAGATAGGCCCTGAAAAAATATTCTTTAAAAAATCCACGCCTTAGATAGGCCCTGAAAAAATATTCTTTAAAAAAATCCACGCCTTAGATAGGCCCTGAAAAAATATTCTTTAAAAAATCCAGGCCTTAGATAGGCCCTGAAAAAATATTCTTTAAAAAAATCCACGCCTTGCGTTGACAGGATACTTTAAAAAATATTCTTTAAAAAATCCAAGCCTTAGATAGGCCCTGAAAAAATATTCTTTAAAAAATCCACGCCTTAGATAGGCCTGAAAAAATATTCTTTAAAAAATCCAAGATAGGCCCTGAAAAAATATTCTTTAAAAAATCCCCGCCTTGGGTAGGCCCTGAAAAAATATTCTTTAAAAAATCCACGCCTTAGATAGGCCCTGAAAAAATATTCTTTAAAAAATCCAGGCCTTAGATAGGCCCTGAAAAAATATTCTTTAAAAAAATCCACGCCTTAGATAGGCCCTGAAAAAATATTCTTTAAAAAAATCCACGCCTTAGATAGGCCCTGAAAAAATATTCTTTAAAAAATCCACGCCTTAGATAGGCCCTTATTCTTTAAAAAAATCCACACCTTATAGGCCCT